CTTCTATTTCCACCCCTGCCACACACACTTGTTGTATGTTAGCATCCTCATATCAGACAGAATATTTGGCCTTTGTTTTTTTAGGATTGGCTTATTTCACTTAGCATGATAGTCTCCAGATCCATCCCTTTACCAGCAAAAGTCATAAAAATCATTCCTTTTTATAACTGAGTAATATTCCATTGTACATATATATCACATTTTCTTTATCCATTCATCTTTGAAGGGCACCTAGGTTGGTTCCATAGCTTAGCTATTGTAAATTAAATTGAACTGCTATAAACAATGATGTGGGTGAGTCATTGTATGTTGATTTTAAATTCTTTTCAAAAATTATATTTGGAGATACAATGACTTTGATGTATAAAGCTCTAATTGATTAATCTTAAGTGTTCTACAATATTCCATTAAATGATTATACCAAAAAGTTTTTTGATTTGTTTTATTTTTGTGATACTATAAATAGAACATAGGGACCCTCTACCACAAAGCTAAAACCCTAGCCCCTTTTATATTTTGAAACATGGTTTTGCTAAATTGCTGACGCTTGCATCAAACTTGCAATCCTCCTGCCTTGGCCTGCTGAGTGGCTGAGATTACAGCTGTGTGCCCCTGTGCCAGACTTGTCCCAATTATTCATTCATTCTCCTAATGGATATTTTCCATCTCCTTTAGGGGAGGGGTTATTAAAATATTGCATAAACATTCTTTGTTTTATCTCCTTACACCTGAGACACTTTTTTTTTTTTTTTACAGTACACATCTAGGTTCAAAATTGCTTAGACTTGATGATAGGTTCCTTTGACAGTATTAGATATTGCCAAATTGCTCTTCAAAAGTGAGTAGTAAGCAGAGCACACTGATGCATGTCTGTAATCCTAACGGTTGAGGAGGCTGAGGCGGGAGAATCACAAGTTCAAGGCCAGTGTAACTTAGTGAGACCCTAAGCAACTTAGTGAGACCCTATCTCAAAAAATGAAAAGGACTGGGGATGTGGCTCAGTGATAGAGCACCTCTGGGTTCAATCCTCAGTACCAAACAAACAAAAAAACTAAAACAGAGTGGTGATTCACTATTTCCCCAGTAGTGTGTCTGTTTCCCACTCAGCCTTACCACTTGTTTATAAGAGCTTCTACCTGCTGACTATCTGGGGATGTGTAGCGCACTTCATTGCTTGGTCTTGCTTCATTTTATAAATAGCCATGTTTAAAGTGAGTCAGGGTTAATCCAGAATCAAGAGAAGTAGCTAAAGAAAGGGTTGAAAGAAAAGATCACAAGAACTAGAGCTATGAACTCTTATTATAAAGGAATTTCTGGTGATAGAAAAAGGGTAGTTTTGAGACTCAGGAAATGATACCCTAAAGTTTGGCCCTTTGACACACTGAGCACATTGAACAAAAAAGCAGTATCAGAACCAAAATCTCTGTGACTTTCTCCAACTCCTGTCTCTGATCCTCTTTCCCTCCCTAACTGCAGGAAGGCTTTCTCTGATGCTCTCTTATCCACCTAAACACCAGCTCCTCCAGAAGATGAACTAGTAGAAGAAAAACCAGAGCTGACCTCACCCTCAGGGCACAGGTACACTCTGTCCCAGGCTCTTTGGGCCCATCCGTTTCTCCTGAAAATCATTTACTCTAAATCTAAAATTGCCTACATCCTCCACTTCCTTCTCTCCTAGCAAAATGATGTTCACACTTCAACCTTCTTTGTGTTTTTCATACGTGATAGGTTCCCTTGAACTTGTGATTCAACCTTTTTTGAGTTTTTATACTCTTTGTGACTCCCATGTACTTGCATATTAATGAATTTGTATGAATTTTCACCTGTTCGTGTGTCTGTTGTCACTTTTTTCAGCAGACCCGATTATGGAACCTTCAGAGGACGGAGGGGGAGTTCCCTCAGCCCCTTTGTGGTACATTAAAACAAATTCCTCACTGTTCACAGCAGCCACTCAATCCCCCAAGTGCTTTTTGACCTTAGATGTATCTCACGCATCTGCTCCACAGTTCATTAGCCAGTAGAGTCCAGACCCACTCTCCCATTTAGTAAGAGATGCCAAGTGGAAGTCTGATCATTTTTAAATGCATGGAATAAATCAGAAAAGAGTTGTTATCAAATTTTCTTATTTTTGAGCAAATGTTAAATCTTGGCATAGTCTCTCTCAATAAACATTAATAGGCACACTAAGAAGTTCTCATGATTTAATTAAAGAAAACTGAAATATGTGTTATAATATTAACAAAAAAACAATTTATTTCCCTCTCTCAAAGTGCAATCATGATTTTTTTTTTCCCTTGGGACAAAAATAAGTTATGGGCTGGGGTTGTTGGCTCATCAGTAGAACACTTGCCTCACACGTGTGAGCCACTGGGTTTAATCCTCAGCACCTCAGCATAAATAAATGAAATAAAGGTATTGTATCCATCTACAACTAAAATATATATATATTTTTAAAAAGTTAAAATATTTCATTCTTAATAAAATTGAAGGACTTATAGCTTAATGCAACAGCTAGAAATTTTATTGCACATATATGATTAGATTCTTAATATCCTTTCAAATGACAATTCAGGCAAGGATTTTAAGCATTTTTATAGTTCTCATAAATTATTCTCCAAGTAGCTTATACTTTTAAACACAAAAGATTTTTTTTCTATGATTTCTTCCTGAGAATTTGCTGCTGAAGAGAATCTGCTGTCTTCAACAAAAAGCTGATGAAAATAAAATTGGCACAGCTGTACTTTCTTTGAAGTCCAAAGAATCAACCTAAGTGAAGCAAGATACACGACAAGAATAGCATTCTAATTCTGCCTCTGCCTCTGTAAAAAGAGATGCTTCATTTTGTCATATCTGCCTCACTTTGCAGATATTATTTCAAATGTCTCTTGCTCTTATTTCACTAGTTTTCCTTTCTGTTTGTAAATGCTAGGGATAGCAGAGTTATACCTAGAGCCAAATGCAACAGAAATAAATAAAAACAAACACATACAGACATATATCCCAAGTTTTTGCAGTAGGATAAGACTTTCTGAGACCCAAAGAAAATTTCTAGACTTGCAGAAAATATTTTTTTTTCTATCCCAGACATCAGAGGCTATCTGGCTAGAAACGATCTAAATAAGAAAATGACAAATGCTTAAGTTAATGGAAGGGTTAAGAGAAAAGACACACTCTGCATGGGACAAGTGAGGAGGCATAGTTGATGCATTTTTCTAAATGAACAACACTTGGCAGGCATGACTGATATAGTTTTAACCAGAAATACAGTCCTCCCTTGTTATCCACAGGGCTGGTCCCAGGACACCCAGGATACCAAAATCTGTAGATGATCAAGTCACTTATATAAATGGCATAGAATCTGCATATAACCTACAACCACCCTCCTGTACACTTTCAATCAACTCTAGGTTTCTTATCAAAGCTAACACAATGTAAGTGCTAAGCAAATAATTGTTACCCTGCATTGTTTATGGAATATAAGACAAAGGGGAAAGTCTGTACACTTTCAATACAGAAGTAATTTAAATAAATATATTTACTATCCATGATTGGTTTAAAAGTGCAGAACCCATGGATACAGAGGGAAAACTGCAAGGGATAATAAAACTTGGTGGTTAAGAAGAACAAGCTAGGGAGCCAAGCTGACCTGGTCCCAGATCTTCCTTACTAATAACCAGGTAAAAAGATAAATTTAGACTGAGTAGGACCAAATCTCTCAATTCCAGTATGCCAGAAACAGATATGCCTCTCAATCCCCAGCATAATGTCGAGCATGCAACAAATATATTTGCTCAGTGAAACTCTTCAGGATTTTTAGAGAAAGCTACCCATGCTCTAGATACTCTGATAAAAGCAAAATGCTACTTTAAAATATATTTTTAGGGCTGGGGTTGTAGCTCAGTAGTAGATGGCTTGTTTAGCACATGTGAGGCACTGGGTTCAATCCTCAGCATCACGTAAAAATAAATAAATAAAGATATTATGTATACACACACACACACACACACACACACACACACACACATTTCTACAAGGATTTGGCACTGGAGATCTTCATATAACAATTGCTAAGCCACTGACTTTGAAAGTATGTTCTCAACTCCAGGGCTTCACATCCCAAGGTTGGCTCTTATTTGGGAACCAAAAGACAGAGATGAGAAAAGACCACATGAAGCTAGCTGGAAATTTCACAAAGGAAATGGATGACATCAGGCTCAGCATGAGTGTCACTGAACTGTGAGACACTTTTCAAAGAATCACTCAGTGTAAAATCCTGTGGCCTTGTAAAAGCATGTTCAGCAACTTTGCTGGAGGGAGAAAATGGCTTTATATCAGGTATGTTCCTATTAATGCAGAAAATGACATTGGGATAGGTTGAATTTTGTAGACAAAACACAGAAAGTTTTTACTTCCCAATCCTTTAGGGTGTTAAAAATGGTTTCTATGCGGCAAGCGTCTATTAATGAAGAGAATGCCAACGGGGAAGGTTGAGTTTTGTACACAAAATAGAGAGTTTTACTTCCTTCCTCCCATCTTAATTGAAATGACACCCAGCAAACAAGGGTGGCAATATTGTGAGCAATTCTACTCAGAGCACTCTCAGGCACGAAGAGTATTTTAGTTAGAGCCAGATGGGCACAATGAAGTCACCAAAGGTCAGGCATAAAGCCCGATATATCTTATATGACCTCCTTTTCTTTCTCCAAGGTGTGTATCAGTGATTTCCCATCAACAGTCTCCTGGATGTAACTCCACCTGGTACTCAGAACTGAACATGATGTTTATCTTTCTTGGATATCATCAAATATCTACATTGATTTCTAGATAAACTTCACAATGAATTCTAGATAAACTTGACAATTAGCCCTTGGTAGCTATTTATCATACTGGCAAAAACATCTTTTCACAAACATAAGTTACTGAAAATGTTTTGGATAAGAGAGAATTCTCCCTGAATACTGGGGTTGAAAGGAAATATACCCAGTAACTAAGAGGAGTACCTTCAGGGACTGCAGAGAGTCCGAGTTAGTATCACAGTAGAGGATGATGTTGTTGGCCATGCTGAAGCTTTCTCGAACCCCAAGGTGGTAAAACAAGGATGGCTGCCGGAAGGCATCACTCATCTCCACCACAGCAATATCTGCAGACAGAAAACAAAGTCCCCAAAAGATGTCACCTGAATCATGCCCAATAAGCACATTTGGGTTTCAATAACTCAGTACTCAGAAAAGGAAATGAGGAAATGCTAGGGATTTTCCCTCTTCACTTACCACTGAATTTTGAATTTGTGGTTCTACCAGAAATGGCTTTTATAAAGTTCAACAAACTGACATTTTTTTAAACAAGAAAGAAATCATGTAATTATTGCAAAGAGCCTGCAATGATGGGAAGCAAAAGTTAACGTTCTCTGTTAAATTTCAACATTGAAACAAGGTAACTATGGTTACAAATTAAAAAAAAAAAACTTTAAAAAGCAGATTCATAGAATATATAGCAGTAACAAATGCAAAATGAGTTTTTAAAAAAATGGTGACTTTATTGGTTAATCCAGAACTAGGGTTTAGAATTAACTAGTTTATATCCAATAAATATTTGGTAAGTAAAATGAAGAAAGAAAAAAGTGAAGGTATAGAAAATTATAACTAAGAAGAGAAATAAAACCACAGATACTAATTTTTCCAAAAGTCAAACATGACCAATATTAACCTAATAGAAACCTTATCCCACATTTTGACAATAACATCATAAAAATGAAATCCAGATTACTCTCAAACTCATTTACGGATATAAACAAAAATATGAAAGAAAAACTAACAAATGTACCAAGTGTTACACTGTAAGAAGCTGAGATTTTGAGTTTAAAATTTATTTGGGGAATGCAAGGATGGCTCAATTTTTAAGAGTCATGAACATTTCCTCAGATTCTTATTGATTAAAGTGCAAAATCCATTTTTTTCCGTGAAAAAAAAGTCACAAAATGGGCTGCAGCAGGAAAAGAGCATATGCCTAACTTGCAAGATGAACAAAATACGTTTCACAAGTGCCTACTTTGTACTTTGTATTTCTATGTACTTATATGCCCATTAAAATCAGGAAATCTCAGTCAATACAGGAAGATTTTTAGGAAGCCAAGGTATAAGTCTAGAAAATAAAATATAAAATCATCATTACTTGCAAATGTTATGTTGTCAACCAAAACCAGCCAAAACAAAACAAACAATACAATGCAGCTGAATAACTATTAGAAATAATAATACTATTTAGTAAAGTGTTAAGATAAAAAATTATTTTGAAAACTAATAACTTCTTTTACAACCACAATAAAAATTTGGAAAATATAATCATAAAACATAACCCATTCATAATTACAATTAAAGTGTTAACATAGCAAGTTTGTTAAAGACATGTGCAATATTTGATAGATGAAAGGTTAGTATCTTTATAAATTATCTCTTACTGGTCAATTTAAAGCAAACAAGCAATAATAAAAGCTTTGCAACAGACTATAGACATAAGCAGGCAAATTCACTAAAGTTTAAAATGGTCAATAAGCACATGAAAAAATGTTCTCCATCTCTCTTCTAATAAATGCACATTAAACTAACCATAAAGTGCAATTTCTTTCCTAAAAGGTGCCAATGAAAATAGCCTAAAATAACCAATGAAAATTCAGAGAAATGGTACTCAAGTGTTGTCTAAACTTTTTGGAGACTTACATCCTTAAAATTATGTATACTCTCCAACCCAATAATTCCATTTCTTAGAATTTATCCTGAGAAGTTCTTAGAGATATGGGCAGATTTACCTGTTTGTCTACTGAAATATCATCTTTATAATAAAATAAAGGAAAAAGTCAATATATCCATCAACAGGAAATGACTATGTGTATATTTGTGTATTTACTTTTGTGTATATATAGTAATTACATACACACATGTAAGTACACACACACACACACACACACACACACACAATGATGATTCCCAATAATGGCATACCATTTAACTACCAAAAACTCTAAGGTAGAAGGATACTTAGAAACGGGGGAGAAATTGAAGCTATTAAGTAAACAAAGTTAAAATATAGTATGTATGTTATAATTTATAGCATACATTACAATGTAATGTATACATTATAATATGTACATTTTATGTAAATATTCATATAAATTTAAAAATCTGAAAACATGTATAGTAAAAAATAATCCATGATTATTCATAATTCACAAATTATTTTTTCACTTTTCTTATTATTTCCCACAATTTCTCATATGAACATTGATTTCTTTTATAAATTAAAACCCACCAAAATATAAAAGGAATTTTCAAGACCTGTGTGACTGAATGTAACATAAAAAAGAACATACTTTTTAAAATTAGTTATGAAGTTTGTTATAAAAATATAAAGAGAATCATATTAAATTATATGAACTTGGTTATAAAATTTTTAAGAGATTGTTTATTTTTATTGATACGTTATAATTATATTTAAGAGTGGGATTCCTATGTCATATTTGTAGCTATATGTAACATAATTTGATCAATCTCTTTCCCTAGTAACTTCCCTTCTCCTTCCTCCCTCCCTCCCCTGATCCACTTACTCTACTGATCTCCATTCTATTATCATTACTTTAAATAGTTCCATATATATATATGTTGTATATATATTCAATGTGGTATATCCATACATAGCATAATTTGGTAGATTTCTTTGCCCAGTATTTCCCCACTCCCTCTCCTCTTCCCTCCCTTTCCTCTATTGCTATTGGTCTTCTTTCTAAAAAATAGTGCACTCTTTAAGAAGCGATTAAATACAGAATCTGACTTATCTTATGACTATGAAGTTAGAATTCACATTCACTCAAGGAGGAATAAATCTGATGCAATGAAGGTAAAAGACATAGAGGATTTACTCATGTTATGAAAAGGGAAGAAGGTCAAAGGAGCTTCAAAACTTGTTGTTTTCAACAATAAGTGCTGGCGAGAATGTGGGGAAAAGGGTACACTTGTACATTGTTGGTGGGACTGCAAATTGGTGCAGCCAATTTGGAAAGCAGTATGGAGATTTCTTGGAAAGCTGGGAATGGAACCACCATTTGACCCAGCTATTCCCCTTCTCGGTCTATTCCCTAAAGACCTAAAAAGAGCATGCTACAGGGACACTGCTACATCGATGTTCATAGCAGCACAATTCACAGTAGCAAGACTGTGGAACCAACCTAGATGCCCTTCAATAGATGAATGGATAAAAAAAAATGTGGGATTTATACACAATGGAGTATTACTCTGCATTAAAAAATGACAAAATCATAGAATTTGGAGGGAAATGGATGGCATTAGAGCAAATTATGCTAAGGGAAGCTAGCCAAGCCCTAAAAAACAAATGCCAAATGTCTTCTTTGATATAAGGAGAATAACTAAGAACAGAATAGGGAAGAAGAGCACCAGAAGAAGACCAACATTAAACAAGGATGAGAGGTGGGAGGGAAAGGGAGAAAGAAGGGAAATTGCATGGAAATGGAAGGAGACCCTCAGGGTTATACAAAATTACATACAAGAGGAAGTGAGGGAAAGGGAAAAATAATACAAGGGGGAGGAATGAATTACAGTAGAGGGGGTAGAGAGAGAGAGAAGAGGGGAGGGGAGGGGAGGGGGATGGTAGAGGATAGGAAAGGCAGCAGAATACAACAGATATGAGTATGTCAATATGTAAATCAATGGAAGTGTAACTGATGTGATTCTGCAAGCTGTATATGGGGTAAAATGGGAGTTCATAACCCACTTGAATCAAAATGTGAAATATGATATATCAAGAACTATGTAATGTTTTGAACAACCAACAATAAAAAAAAAAAACTTGTTGTTTTCCCCAAAAGCTAAAAATGACTTGAAGACTCTTTAATATAAATAAAGACTTTTCTTTTGGGGTCCTCAACATTTCTACATTAAAAAAAAAAATCAACCTATAAAACAAATGAGTCACTGCATCCCACCCACACTGCCATCTGCCTCCTGCCCCCACGCTGCTTCCGCCTCCCCCAGGTGCCAGCACTCAACAGTCAATCACCCAGCTTTAAAACCCAGAGACAACGTAGAGTGCAGCAAAAAGAAACCATAAACAGTAGCTGAAGAAAAATAAGAGAGATGCAAAGAAACACATCAGCTAAATTAAGGTAATAAGGAGAAAGGGGTATTTTTCTAAATAATTGACTTGGGATTTGATGCTAAAATAAAAATTTAAAACCCTGCCAGAAGGTTTTCATATTAAAGAGAAGAACTAGACATTTAAAATAAATGGTACCAGCAAAATAAGGTATAATCATTAGTTCTGAACATCGAAGCAGAGATGTTACATAGAACATTAAAAAGTACTTATTGACCCAATTTTAAAATATGATAATATAGTAAGGTACCTCAGAAAAAGGTTGATTTTTTTTGTATTTCAAAGCAGATGAGTGATTTGTTCAAAGACATTTTTATTCTTTTCTAAATTTATTTAATTGTCTTAGAGAAAAATGCATTCTTTCACTGGTATATAGCTTAATGGGTTTTGAAAAATGCATTCCCACTACCACAGGCATGACAGAGAACAGCTCCTTCATTCCAAAAATTTCTCTCATGCTTTCCTTTTGCAATTAATGCTCCAATCCAGCCTCAACCCCTGGCAAGTACTGTTCTGTTTACTGTCTTTTTAGTTTTGCTTTCTCCAGAACACCACAGAAATGGAATCATACATAAGCTTTTGGATTTGGTTTCTTTCACCTAACAAAATATATTTGAGATTCATCTGTAGATGAATTCATCCATCCATGGGTTGGAGGACACATTTGGGTTAACTCCAGGCTGGCAAATTTTTTACAGTTACTACTCATATACAAACTTATGCTTTTCATTTGTCTTCGGTAAATATCTATGAGTAGGATTACTGAGTCATATGGTAAATATATGTTTAACTTAATAAGAAAATGCCAAACTCTTTCCTAAAGCAACTATACCATTTTGCATTCCCACCAGCAATGTACAATAGGTTTCTGTTGCCCACCATCCTTGTTGGCCCTTGATATTGTCAATTTTTGCTTTAAGCCAGCCTATTAGGTATGTAGTGGTATCTCATCGTGGATTTATTTTTATTAATGAAGTT